GCCATGTTTATGCGTGAGACGTTGGCGCCGTCGTTGAGATCCAGCCGGGGACCATGACGCATGCTGGGTTCCGGAACGTGGCTGCCATGCGTGGCCTCGGCTATTTCCATGTACATGCCCAGGCTGTGAATCCAGAGAACGACCCCGGGAGGCGGCATGTCGACGATGGCTTCAGGGAGGTCAAGGACGGGAGGACACCTGGAGAAGCGCGACAACTGGCACACCCAGGACATTGTCATTGAAGAGGCTCGGTTTGTCGATGTTGTAGAAGCCGCCGTTCGTTCCATGTATTCTAAGGGAACTTGGAACTACGATGTGAACGTGCATTCGGGGTAGGTTTCGTTACGCAGCATGGCGAAAATCAGACGCTGGTACCAAGGAGTTTTGGGAGGTTGATCGATGATTTTATGGCATGCATAACTATTAATGCCATTTTAACGAGAGCATGTGAATGAATACTGTACATAGTTCCCTAATCATCTCGCACTGAGCGTATTGCTTGAAGAAACATCTGTTCTGATTGGCAATAATTTAAGTGACTAAGTCCGTGTCTACTATTGCAGCTGGATAGCTACGAATGTTCGGCGCCACGCTTCAAACTCGCAGAATCACCTCACGAGCGCCATATGACAGATGCTAGTGAAATGGATGCGGCATTGAGAGTAACGCGCGTGAACATGTCACCGGCCTGGCGCAAGGCTATGTTCTTTGCGAGCTCATCACCTGGCTGCCCCGCCGCCCCAAATTTGGAACCACACTTTGCCGCTGAATGTAACGGCCCGCTCATAGCGCGGCGTTGGGGGGCGCATGGTAGTTCTCCAGACGTCAAACTTGCTTCACCCTGTATCAAATGGACAAGGAGGTTGCCTGATGGCGGCATCCGGCGGCCGCTACGCAGCCGAGGGGAGCATGTGTAGCGCAGCTCCAGAAGCACCATCAGCGTGTCGTCTGTCCTACACAACCTTATCTGTCGGGCCCAAATCTTATTCACACAATAAGCATGGCGCACAAGCCCCTTACTGACGAAGGGTAAGTGGACGTCGATAACTACCTGATTCGTCCATGTTACATACAGAAAAGATGGATCTGCCGTTAGAGACCCCTCGTTTGAAGTCATCCGATTCCCGGCCGCATGCTTGTCGTGCCGCCTGTGACCTTACTGGCTTGGCAAGCTTGGTCGTGCCCCATGAACCCCTGCAAAAGAAAAGTGTCCATCCCCCATACGGGCCAACGTATACAGAGAGGCGAGCGTGAACGAGCAAGCACAAGCCAACGAACGAGCATTGAGCTGCTCATAAAAACATGGAGCGCCCCAATTCAGTGCCATTGCACTCTTTCGAGCCGCGCCACGACGGTCCTACCACGACAACGTGTCGTTCCACAGGACCCTAATGATACCCCTACGTCGCAAAAGTCGGCAGACGCGGCAGTTCCTCTTGGGGTTCGCTGTAGTCCTCATTCTCTTCTACGTTTTGTTTCTCGAACCCTCGAACAAGGACACAGAGTCCATCCGTCTCAGTCACTACATGAATGATGACCCCCCCGTTGTCGATGTAGTCAAGAGCAGCATTGACTGGGGCAAGATTGATCTTGTGTACCCTCAACCCCCAAAGCCGCCCGGCGGTAACACTGCTCTGCCTCGCCATAGAAGCCCGTCATTTCCCAAGATTCAGTATTCCTTTGGCCCGCAGTCTAAGGCCGAAATTGAGAAGAAGCGGAGCCGTCGCCAAGTTGTGCGCGACGTTTTTGAGAAGGACTGGCAACACTACCGTGCACACGCATGGATGAAGGATGCTGTTAATCCTATTTCTGGCACCGCCAAAGACCAATTTTCAGGCTGGGCAGCGACTCTTGTCGATTCTCTCGACACGCTATGGATCATGGGGCTCCGAGCTGAATTTGACGAGGCCGTCGAGGCCGTCGCCAAGATTGACTTTGGACAATCCTCCACATCCCGAGTCAATATGTTTGAATCTACAATTCGTTACCTTGGCGGCCTGCTGGCCGCTTATGATCTCAGCAAACGTAACGTACTCCTCACCAAGGCCATCGAGATTGGTGATCTTCTTTACGGCGCCTTCAATACACCAAATCACATGCCCGTCGACTTCATCAGCTTCAATCAAGCCAAGACCGGTCAAGGGCTCACCGTCGAGGCCTGGGTTGTATCGGCCTCGCCTGGGACTCTATCACTTGAAATGACGCGACTGTCTCAGGTCACTGGCGACATGAAGTACTACGATGCTGTCACGGGCGTCATGGAGGTATTCCGAGACCAGCAGTCAAAGACTCACCTACCTGGTCTGTGGCCCATCTGGGTGTCCATGAGAGACAAAAACGTCAGCGCAAGAAGAGAGTTCACCATTGGAGGTAGCGCTGACTCACTATTTGAGTACCTTCCGAAGATGTACGCCCTCCTCGGCGGCTCAAGCCCCATGTATGAGACCATGACAAAAGACTTTCTCAAGACAGCGAATGAAGTCATGTTTTTCCGGCCCATGCTTCCCGATGAGGCCGATATCCTTATATCTGGCAACGTTAAGGTCAGCGAAGAGGGCAAGGTCATTTTCGACCCCGAGAGCGAGCATCTGACGTGCTTCATCGGCGGTACCGTCTCTCTGGCCGGGCGCATATTCAACAAGCCCGAGGAGGTCGAAACGGGGAAGAAATTAGCCCATGGATGCGCCTACGCTTACAACGCCTTTCCATCTGGCATGATG